TACAAATCGATTTGACTCTTGTTCAATTTACTTTATTTTATTTGTTACAATTACTAATTATCCAAATATAATCAACTTAATACAGTGCTTTATTTAATTATCTGTAACATCCAATATCCACGTTACAAAATCTGGTAACCCAACTGTGAGGCCGAACTTATCGAAAATTAAAAACTTTCGCGTTCGTGACAAAAACTGTACTGTAAACTACGTGTGTTAAGTGAAAATAAAACTATTTGTGTAAATATTTGTAGTGAGACGATTAATTCTGCAATTTGGTGAGTCTATTCCAATTTATTCTCAGAATTATTCAGCTTGTAGCTTGTATAGACCTGAAAACAGTCATTCGTAGAAGACATTGACTGCGGTATTTTTATCATTTCCTAGTGCAAGTACCAAAGGCCTTATGAGCAGGTAGCAGATACTAATATAGCTAGTGGATAATAATAAGTAGTTGCATTTTTATATAAATTTTTCGGCATAACCTCAATAAATTTCCCGCTAAAGGTGTCGTTGCAAAAGTTCGCGCTTTGTCACAGAACAGCAATTACAGAATCGACATTCTGTCAACTGTCAATCGTGGATTATCGCTCAGGAACTCCGACGTTGCCACGTTTCGAACTTTCTCAATAATTGTACCTCGCGCCGTTGCCAGACTGTCTGAAATTTTGCAGATTTCGTACATTTCGAACTTTCTCAACAAAATACTAGTGCGTCGCGGTGTTGCCGGACTTTCGGAAATATCCTAGTTATGCAGATTTCGTAATTTTTACGTAAAATGGCTCCCAAAAAACCTAATGAACCAGAAGCAGGTGCATATATCGGTCCTAGTACTGTCACCATGTCGACGGAACAATTTTCGCAGTTGCTTAACGCGCTAAAAGACACTTCGGTACAAAGTGCTATAGACATTCAGTGTTCCTTGACACCGCCACCAATACAGACTCCACAGACTAACGGAAACTTCGCGAAGTACCGCACGCTTTACTGGATCAGATACAGCAAATGTTGACGCGTTTCTGGACGTCATAACGACATTTCTAACGTATCGGACGATAACGCGCTCCGCGGACTCTATGCTCCTCGAAGACCAGGCAAGCACTTGGTGGCTAGGAGTTAAAACATCCATAAATACTTGGGATGACGCAGTTATCGCGCTCACAGACGCTTTTTCTCGTAAACTGCCGCCTCATGTAAACATAAGCGAGTGATCCAAAGTAGATGTGAACCTACTCCTTTTGCAGAACATACAATTCAACTGCTAGATGATACCCCAGTTGCAGTTCCCCCTTACAGGTTATCTGAACCTAAAAGAGCAGAACTAAAAGTCGAGTTAGATCAACTTCTGGAAAGTGGAACAATAGAAGAATGTGAGTCACCGTATGCTGCCCCTGTTGTGCTCGTGCCCAAAAAAGACGGTGGAATACGCTTAACCGTTGATTACCGAGGCCTGAACGCCAAGACTCGTGCAGACAGATATCCCCTACCAAGGATCGACGATCTATTACACGCTACCATAAAAACTAATTATATGACGACTTTAGATTTGAAGTCTGGCTATCACCAGATACTTGTGAAACCACGTTTCAGAGGCTAATTGACCGTTTCCGTGCTGGCCTGCCCAATGTATTTATCCTGGCATATCTCGATGACCTTATCATACTATCTCATTCCTTTTCCGACCATCTAAATGATCTTGATGCTGTTTTTCAACGCCTTGATTTATTTAAGCTCCATTTAAATCGTCAGAAATGCACTTTTGCCTGCTCCTCTGTTAAGTATTTGGGACACCTTATCACTCCCCATGGCCTAGAGCCCGATCCAACCAAAGTCCGTGCTATTTGGGACATGCCTGAACCCAACAATGTCAAACAGTTACTGACTTTTCTGCAAACATGTTCTTGGTTCGGGAGATTCATTGATAATTTTGCTGCTGTTTCCAAACCCTTAACTGACCTCACCAAGAAGAATGTCCTTTGGAAGTGGTACATCGAGCATCAGCAAGCTTTCCTAAAACTTAAACAACTTCTGAGCTCCTATCCTATTCTAAGACAAGCTGATCTAAAACCACCCTATGTACTGAGAACCGATAGTAGTTCCTATGCTCTTGGCGCATGTCTACTCCAGGGGGAGGGACATGACGATGGTCCCGTCGAATATGCAAGCCGCCTCCTCATCCCGGCCGAAAAGAATTATTCTACTACCGAGAGAGAAGCCCTAGCTGTAGTGTTGAGTGTGGATAAATTTCGTGGCTATCTAGAAGGTTCTATGGTCACAGTACAAAGCGATCACCAACCCCTGAAGTGGCTGATGTCCCTGAAGTCACCAAGTGGTCGCATTGCCAGGTGGGCTTTATCCCTCCAATCTTACGATCTGCGAATAGATTATACTCCAGGACGCTTGAACTCCGTAGCAGATACGCTATCTCGTCCAGCCATCCCTCTGACTGATGCTAACCTAATCCAAGAGGACCTACCAACTGCCAGTGAGATTAGAAAAGATCAACTTGCAGATCCAGACTTGCAGAAAATCATAGCTACTTTTGAGAATCCTAACAGTGATGACGTCGATTTCAAAAGGTGGACAGAGAGGGGTTACCTAATGACCAATGGTATCCTCTATAGATATTCCCCTGAAGCAGACGAAGAGATACCTCAACAAGTAGTACCCAAATCGAAGGTACTAGATGTATTAAAAGAGTATCACGATTCACACATTGCTGGTCACTGCGGAGTGGAACGTACTATCCACAGAATCGCAGCTAGATACTACTGGCCAGGAATGCGAAGAAATGTAACCTTTGGGCGAGAGTTAAGAACACCCGATGATGTTTAACGAGACATGTCCGTCATAGTTACCAATGACACATTCATACCCCAGATAACTCCGTATCTGCTTAATATAGGTAATACTTTGAAATCGGCTCGTGAACGCAGAGAAGCTGCCCAAGATCGAGCGAAAGCCTCCGCCGATAGACATCAACGTGCTGATGCCCTCCAACCAGGAGATAAAGTAATGATAGACACCCTTGCACTCAGTAGTACTAAGGATGCGTTTACTTCAAAATTCGCACCTAAAAGGGATGGACCGTATCTGATTATCAAAGTAATCACTTCGACAACCTACGAAGTAGCCGCTGTTACTAATCCGGAAGTTACCTTAGGCAAATACCATATATCGTCCTTGACGAGATATCGTGAACCAGGTCACGACTGTATTCCTTCCAGACCCTTGCGGAAAAGAGGTAGATTCGGGGACAGTCCCTTGTCCCCGAATCTGAGCCGGAGATATTACCCCTCGACGACGAAAACACTGAAGAAAGTTGTGTGACCCCAGAAGAGACGCCTGACCTTACGACCTTTATTAATATCTTGCCTCAAACTCCCCATGGTACGTCTGATGCAAAGGGGGAGAATTTGTAACACAACCCCTAACGCCGCCTCTGTACTCTCGTAGCAGCTCCCGTGAGTGCGACGCCTAACGAAGGACAGAGAGAGTGAAGTTTGCCGAGAAAAATACAGATCGATTTGACTCTTGTTCAATTTACTTTATTTTATTTGTTACAATTACTAATTATCCAAATATAATCAACTTAATACAGTGCTTTATTTAATTATCTGTAACATCCAATATCCACGTTACAAGAATTGAATCCTTAAGAAGTTTCATACATTTAACTAGACTAATAGATTTTTTGCACTTTTCGAGTTACTGTATACCTATTTATAACTATACAAATATTACTTTTTCCTACGACCACTTAGGAAAGTGACACATAACATACTATATAGTCCTATGGAAAGTGCCCTATATCACACGCGTATGAATAAGAATTTACTTTCCACCCGAGTGATAATATGTTACTTTCCGCAGTAGTTGTCACAAAATGTCAAATACCTAATTTCTATTTTGATCTATGTAATGTCCATATTAATACTAAAATCGATATGATTGTTAAATTATTGAAATTGTTGTAAATTAGATCCTAGATATTTATCCTTAACAATTATTATTAAAATAATTTTAAAATAATGTTTGCTCTTTATTCTGGTTAAATACATAACCGATTAGATTATTCAATTGACACAAGGGCTATTAGCTCAGGTGGTTAGGACGTCGAACATATCAACTTTGCCGTTTTTCGACCGCGTTCAAATCCTGGCGGGGCAGAATTTTTTTTTTGTTTTTTTTTTATTTTTTTTTTTAGTTTTTTTTTTGTTTAGACAATATGAAAATTAAATAAATACGATTATTGTTGATTATTTTTTTAAATACTTTTTAATTATTATAGTAATAATAACCTTGGTTTTACATTTTTTTGATGACATTATTTTGTGGTCGTAGGAAAAATATTGTACATCACTTGTGTGAAAAGTGATTTTCCACACTCGTAATGTAATATACTATAGTTTTACTGCCCTTTACAATCATTATTTTGCAAATTTTAGCTTTATTAAGACTTAATTTCCTTACTTTTCGAATTGCGTCTAGCAGGTATAAATTATTTTCTGAATATGTCTGATATTAAAATTCTTGCAAGTAAGCGGGGGTTACTTAAAGCATCGCTCACACGAGTTGAAACTCTCTTGAATAATTTCATTGCTGATCAGAGCACAAATTTCATGGATCTTCGTCAAAGATTAGATAGCATCGTATCTGTATTAGAAGAATTTATTAATTTAAAATTTGACATTGAAATTATATTTGATACTATAATGCGTGATACCTTTGAAAACACGTATTATAGCCTTATTGCATCTGCTAAAACTGTACTTCAAACTAATATATCTCAGGCTTCACCACCACCTTCTCTTAGATCACAAAACGATATTTCAGTCATAACCTATAATCACAATTCGCATATTGATCCTATTAATAATAATCAAATAACAAAAAACACTAGTGATGATAATTTATCTGATATTGCTTCTAATTACTCATGTAATGATTTTGCGTCAAATATAGGGCTTAAATTGTCTGATATTACATAACTTACCAACCTTTGATGGTTCTGTCGACGATTGACATTTAAATCAGTAATTCATGAAAGGGTTAATATATCTAAAATTCAAAAATTTCACTATCTTCGTCTAGCGTTGAAAGGTGAGGCCGCAGACGTTTTACTAAACATGCAAATCTCGGAAAATAGTTCTGTGGTGTTTGGGAGACATATGATAACTCCAAAAAGTACATTTTGTTGTTAAATCCACTATGATAATTAATTTTGCTTCTATTTTCATTTGGTCAAAGGATGACATCTCCAGTGTTACTAATAAGCCCATAATTTTTGTAACCAAACATGATATGTCACTAAAATTTTACTTTTGTTTGGTATTACTATGATAAGAAACTTTATCAAGTTAAGATCAAATAATAAAAATAATGTCGTTTGGTACATTTGGGATAAGTATATTTTATCATTATTTTACCCAACATTTTAAATGCATTTTTGATCCCTTTATGATATGTCCAGTGTCTCGTATCGAATCGGAACTATTCGCCACGCATCGAATTCGGCACGTTATGTTAGTGAGTGTTTTGTTTTGATTGTTGTCGAACGTCGTAACAATTAAAAAAAGTTTAAAGGTGGTGTAAATTTAGTATTTTCTAAAATATGGCCGGGAAAAGTACAAGAATCAATAAAATAATTGAGATGTGTAAGGCAGGGGATGGGTCCTCCAGTTTTCAAAATGTAAGTACTTATAATTTTTTAACCTTATAGGTAATTAAAGATAGGATCTGTATATTGCCTTGCCTATATGTCATACAATTTAACTTATCATATTTGTACCAAACCATTATAAGTTCATGTGTGTCGTGTGTCCTATTTGATATTGTTCTTACTTAACATATTTGTATCAAACCATTATTAAGCTTTAACAACGTTTTGTACAAATTATTTATTACGGCGGTAGGTGGCACATAACATAATTGTACCGGATTCGAGTTAGAATTAAATGTAAAAATTATCGTTCTTAAATTGACCAATATTTAAGTTTAGTAAGTAACTCTGTTTGTTATTTGCAGAAAAATAAGGCCAATATTACCAATATTGCGGATAAGTCGTCAGTTTTGGAAAGTTCATCAATGACCGTAAATAAAATTGTGTTAGATAATTCCACCAATAACTTAGATATTGAGAACTTAATACTAGATAAGTTGTCTATAATAAGCTCAGAGCAAACAGTGGTAAGTTTTGTGCTAACAAAATAAGTTATTTTTTAATTTAATATATTTTTTCTACTACCGTGCGTAAAGTACGTACTTTAAGTACTCCACGAAGTGTGTAAAGTTGTACTTTTTTTCACTAGTGCGTAAAGTAAAACTCTTTACGCACTAGTTAAAACAAGTAAAATTTTACAAAATTTGTACATTTTACTTTTTTTCACTAGTGCGTAAAGTAAATTACTTTTTTTCACTAGTGAAAAAAAGTAACTTTTATATTTCTAATATTAGTGGATTATGTGTACGGTAGTAGAAAAAATATTGTATGCCACTCGTGTGTAAAGTCCCTTTTTTGACTCATGTGATTGTCAACATTCACATTCGTCAAAAAAGGGTAACTTTACACACTTGTTGCATAAATAACTATTTCTTGGCATATTTTTGCCTTCACAAGAATTATAAGTGTGTCTATTTGTGTTGAATTTTTCCTAATATAAAATATGTTTTCTTTGCAGGTAACTAATGTCACTGCAGGCATTTTAAGTGCATCTAATTCACTGCCGATTATATCTGAAAAAAAATCATCCATTTCATCAGCATGTGAAGTAAATTTTAATCATTCTTCAACTTCGTCATTGAAGTTGTTATCTGCTGAGGATGACCTGATGAGCTCCGAAAATCGTACTTATTATTCTGAAACATCGTCGGTCCGACCAACAAGCCCCGAAAATAATACCAAAATACCACACACACCAGTACCACTGGATAAGTATAGTATGGATGACTTTAGTTCTGGATCTAGCGATTTATGGGAACCAACATATAAGAAAAGGAAGAGAAATAGTTTTAATACTGACGCTGTTCCTATAGAATCGGAATCATCTGACGACAATATTCCATTATCGCACTTTGCAGTGAGAAAAAGAAAAAAAGGGCAAGGTCCAATGCAAAGAAAATTACGTAGGCAACGAACTGAAAGTAGAAAAAAGGGTGAGGTATATGTTACAGCAAAAGGAAAAAGTATTCCAGCTAAAGCTCTTTTACCTATTCCTGAAAATTGTCGAGCAAAATGCTATGCAAAAATAGCAACTATCAACTTAAACGAAGTATTTAAAGATTACAGAGCCTTACCTAATAGAGATATACAAAAACGTTATTTAACAAGTTTAATAACTATAAAACCCAAAGAAAGAACTAGGCGCAGTACATGCGCAAAAAATAGAGAAGTAACAGTACTATATACACTAGACGGCATAAATGGAAATATCTGCAAAAATTGTTTTTTAAAAGTGTTCGCAGAGACTAGGGGGTTTCTTGATGATATTATTAAAAAGAAGAAACTTTCACCTACTTCCATCGTTTTAGAGTCTGACCTAAGAACAGGTCATCAGCCAGGTAATAAACGCTCAGAAGCAGATATCACGTTTGCCAAAGATTTTATAAATAGTATTCCGGCTTACGAAAGCCATTACTCTCGACGGCATACTGTTAAACGATATTTAGAACCAGATATGAACTTGCAGTTACTGTATAAACTTTATAAAGAAAAATTTGTTAATGCAAGACAGAACCCTTCTGAGAAGCCCCTTAGCCTCAGTGTGTTTCGTAATGTTTTTAAGACTCTTAATTTGAAATTTAAAAAACCAAGTAATGACACTTGCAAAATCTGTGATTCGTTGTTTTTAAAAATAAAAACCTCTGTGTCTGAAGAAAAAAAGCGAGAGTTCGAGCATGAGATGACACAACATCAAAACAAGGCATCTTTTCATTATGAGACAAAAAAGGCCGATAAGAAAATAAGCGAGGAGAGTGCTGGCAAAATTACAGTGGCAGCTTTTGACCTACAAAAGTGTTTACCAACCCCGAATATATCTACGAGTGTGTCATTTTATAAAAGAAAACTGTGGACGTTTAATCTGACAGTCCGTAATATTACTACCAAACGAACAGCATGTTATGTATGGCACGAAACTATAGCCCAACGAGGAGCTGATGAGATTGCGTCTTGCGTATTTCAGTTTATCAAGGACTTGTCAGACGAGGTAGAAAAGCTCATCCTCTATTCTGATACGTGTCCAGGGCAAAATAGAAATAATATTTTACCTGTAATGTTTATGATGGCACTTGAAGAAAAGCCAACTCTTAAAGAAATTCATCATAAATTTCTCGTACCAGGGCACACACATTTAGAGTGCGATACAGATCATGCTGCTATAGAGAGATTTGTTAAAAAAAGAAATAGTACAGTGTCAGTTCCACAAGATTGGGTTTCGCTAATTAAAATGACCAGCACTCGTTATGATGTAAAATTAATGAAACAGGCAGATTTTTTTGGATTTTCCAAAGTTTTACTTACTCATTTTATGAAACGAAATGTTGCAAAAGATAAGACATCCTTCGCCTGGAACAATGTGTTTTGGTTATTTTATAAAAAAGGTAGTGACGTGGGTTTTAAGTATACTTTAAATTCTGAGGAACCGTTTCGCTTTTACTCCATGCAGAAGAGGGGCAAATCAGTTTCTATTGCATATACTGAACCTGTGCCATTGGATGAATTAAAATACAAAGATATTCTAGATCTTCTACCCTATATTGATCCTATCTATCACGATTTCTACATTAAATTGAAGAAATCCCCATCCAAAACAACACCATATAATAATAATTAATAATAATAATTTATTCATCCAAAATATGCATTACAGTTAAAACAAAATTAATATACAATAAAAACTAATAAGTTTGGTATGAATAAGCTACTCGATAAGTGATAAATCACTTGTTTCAAGAAGAAAATAAAAGTTATTAAAATAATTAGTTTGTGACTAAAATAGTCACAACTTATTTTACTAGAACTATCAAGCAAAATTTACTATATTTTACACTCTAAAAGTAGGAGATTTTAAGTACAATAATTATAAACATATACATAGACATATACACACTAAAATAGAATATAATAAAGTAAAACCAATTAAATAACAATAATAATAACAGACGTGCAGTGTAGGAAAAATTTAATTAAATTATTGACTTCATTGGAAAAATTAACAAAGCCGGACATCATCTACCTATATTTTTTATCACATGAAAATTATACTCATATATCTTTATACAGCCTATAAGTATAAATTTACAATTTTACGGTAAGTATTTTTGATTCTATTAAATCATTTATTATTTGACGGGAAGTATTAAACAATAGATTTTTAATTTGTATTTTAAATGTAGATTTGTGAATAAGATTTTTAATGGATTCGGGCAATTGGTTGTACATTTTAGGTGCAAGGTAAGCAAAGGATCGTTGAGTAAGTGATTTACCAACCTGAGGAAGATGATGAAGATTTCTGTTCCGAGTATTATAATAATGGAATGGTAGATTAGGTCCTTTCGTGGTGAACTTGTATTTTTGAACCGAACAGTAAAAGTATAGTTGCCTAAGATCCAGAATTTTGCCTTCCGAATACAATAGGTTACTAGGATAACGAAAATCTCGCGAAAAAATTATTTTTAAAAACCTTTTTTGTATTGTTTCTAATGCTTTCAAGTGACACCTAAGTGTACTTCCCCAAATAACAATGCCATATCTTAAATGACTTTCTACCAAGGCGTAATATAATGTTATTAGATTTTGTACAGGTAGATGTTTTTTTAAGTATTTAAATTTGTATAAAATACCCAGTAATTTTTTAATAGTATAATTTATATGGTATTCCCATTTCAGATGATTATCTATATATACACCAAGGTATTTTATTTCAGCAACAGATTCCAGTGCGTAGTGGTGTCCACGTGTCGCTATGGTTAGTTGGTTGTACGAAGGGAGACAACAAGCATTGCAAGTAAATGGCATGTATTTTGTTTTATCCATGTTTATAGTGAGTGACATGTTATCTAGCCATCCCTTCACTTTCAGAAAGTCGCTTTCTGCGATATATTTTAGTTCATGCCAATTATTTGCCTCATAAAAAATTGCAGTATCGTCTGCAAATCCCAAAATTCTACCTGGACTATCAATTGAAAACAGATTATTTATATATATATATATATATTAAAGAGGACTGGACCTAAGACACTCC